TTTTCAAGTAAGTGTCTGGTTTTGCAGCTTCTTCAAGTAGGCTTTTTCTTAGATCGGCCAGCAAAATATCATTTTCTTCATCTGACACCAATTGAGGCCATATTCCATCCCAGCTTTTTTGAATATTCTTTTCGGTTATGGACTTCCAAGCAGAGTCGAGAGTATTCACTGCATCCAGAAGACTAAATTTCTTCAGGAGTTGCATTGTGTCTTTGTTTTCTTGTGATATATGCCGTGTTACGTATTGCTCGCAGGAGATTACGCATAGTGCTCTCAAAATTTTGCGTTATCTTGGGAAAGATTCAATGTGTGTCGAAGACTATTTTCATATCGGTCGATAGTTCCCGGAGCCCGTTTCATTAGAGCGTTGTGTCTGCCGATTAATTTATAATTTTCTTCCAAGTAGCTATAGTGACGAATGGAATTTTGATGGCAAAGTCAATATAAGCGCCGCTGATATTTAACGTAAAAGTAACGAAATGAATACGCAGAACAAACGAAAATTTTCAGACAACCGGAATATTTTCGCGGACAGCAGCCACCGACTTTTCTTCGGTCAAAATTGTGCCGATCACCTGTCACCTAGTATTTTGTCGAACTCGGCCTCTTTGATGACAAACGCAATTTTAATAAATCAATAATCAATTCGTACCAAAATAAAATTAATAAATCATATATTTTACCCACTTGTGTCATTATTACCATTAATATCGTTACTATTAAAGTTCAACAGCAGTTCAAATAAAATACACGGCATTTAAGATGTAATCAATAAAACCTGACTTTAAAGTTTTAACATCCCGCAACCTAAACGGCGTATTAAAAATCTTGCGCCTATGAAGTCATTCTGATCAAATATCCATACCTTTATTTAAACACCGCAGTTAGCCAAATTTTAAAGCGTCGTTATTAGACTTGATCAAGCAAAATTAAAATCGTGTTTACAGTCATCAAGCGAGTACGAAAACGACAAACATCAGTTTAACGAAACAATCTTTAATCGGAATTAACCGTTGGCCTCAGTTCACCAGTAAAGATGTATGAAGCGGGGCTACGCGAACGTGTCCTTCGGTCATACGGTCAATGGCTCACAGCACCAAATCGGGCTTCATCATCGCCACTGCTCAAATCGTGCGGTGTCATCAGATTTTACCGTTCTTTGTTGGATCGTTAATGATTTCGAAATCGTCACCGTCCACCATTCGCTACGTCTACGTCGTTAATTCTTAATAGCAACTAGTTTGCAGCCCAATCTTTAAGTTGACCACGCCGTTATGTGTTAATTCATTTGTAAAACTCAACGTGACGGTCGGCTTACGAAGCCGCTTCGCCAGGGCCAGACAAGCAGCCTTCTAATGGGGAATCGGCAAGTCGACGGTAGTTAACACCGCTCCTCATCAACAAAGAGAAAGTCAGCGAAAGTACGTTTCAGAAAAATAACGATGGGTCCCGATACGCACGACTTTCAGCTTTCGTACAAAACGCATTTTACACTAACTTCAAAATTCAGTAATAAATCGAAAAGTATTTGCACATCCTGGCATCTCCGTAGCCACGAAACGCAGAATCGACGATACAGCCGATATGAAATATCAACTTATTTTTACGTGAGGAATCCCCTTACGAGATGCAAGCATTGCGTTCTTTAAACACTTCATAAAATAGCGGAATGCCAATGTGTCAAAGCACGAATGAGAATAATTGTTACCGATCGACCATCATTCAGCATCATCATCTGTTTCACAATAATATCAAAGATAGCATCCTATTACAAGCTCAGTTAATAGTAAAAGCCACACACGCGTCATAGGCAATACGATTAACAATATTATTATAATACATTGAATTGAACAAGCGATATCAACTAATATAGCCATCGTGGCAGCACAGTTACGATTTGGCTTCAAATTGCAGAACAAAAATTTGACCAATTATCGAACGACAGACCATCATTACTCTGCAACAGTCATATCCACTTTAACAGATTGCACGAAACATAAGATAGTTTGTTCAATCACGCAATCGCCCTGGGGCCCAGACGCGATAATCATGCTCGATTTGCGCCTAGCTGGCATCATCAGAGAGAAAAATCTCGTCAAAGCACATCTTCACCCAGATTTAGCATCGAAATACCCAGCACCACCTGAAATTCGTTCAACGTCACCACTTCAATATTGCTTTCAAAAGCGTATCATTTGCAAAATCAGTAATATTCCTTACCAAACACAATTACCAGCATTGCGCCGACATGTCATCAAAGTGTTTGAATATTTGCCCAAATTACTATGGCACATTCACACATAAGCCAAATTACGTAGCGGAAACAAAACAGAACACTGTACCTTAATTACTGCCACAGTCAATATAGTACGCTACTGTAATTGCCGGGTATCTGTTCATAATGACATGAAGCCAGTGTTGACTTTGTAGAATGCAGAACGAGTAAGACATCACGTACCTGCCATCTATTGTGCCCCTTCCGTCATCACAGCCCATAACAATATCACGGGTAGCGACGTTGATATTCATCCTTCGACAACAGTTTCTCCGAGGGCACACGACTACGGTTCAGTGTTCTTCTCATCTCAGCATCTCTTGACAGTCGGTTCAATGACTCTAAACTCGTTGTTCTTCGGCTTCGTTTCGCATTCTTTGAGCTCGATTCTCACAATTTTCCATTTTACTGAAGGTGGATGTTACCGATATACAGGAAGGTACTGATGCAGGTCAGCAAGTTTAGTTCTGAAAAGCCAGATAAGCTCAATACAGAAAAGTTGATAGCGTATTTCCGCTACAACCTCGAATTACTTAGCCGTGAACGAATTTCATAAAAATTGCGTTGTATTGTTAATAAGATATATTACGTTGGTCATTCTCAATTCGTTGCTTTCACTTCAGCATTTAACAAACATCGGTTATTACATAAATGCATTACATATGAAGATGGTTCGTTCGAAAGCTCTGTATCAGATTCTCTGCTTCGAGATTATTCAAACTCATTGTAAATATGTTAATGGTAAGTTTACATTTCAAAAATATTTTACAGACATACAGGGTGAGTCAAACTTCATTGACTAAGTTTAGTTTAAATGAAATGCTTCATTGTTTAATTAAAGAATTTATATCATTTGAGTCTCCAAAATAATTAATTGTCATAGAGTATACGCTTGACAGTAACGAAAATATTTCACATTTTCTTTGATATTGTTTTATACAGGGTGAGCCTCTATTATTATTCACATGAGAGTCAGTTAATGAAAGAATTGCAGTTTGTGGGATCATAACAAGCCAGATTTCGAGTTCACAGCTCAAAACACTTGGCTATTTTAAAATTGTTCAATTATCATAAATTTTAGAAAAAGCTTTGATAAAGTTAAAGGTCACATTCTCTAATTAGACTAGGTATTTCTCCTCGATTAGACATTTTGACATATGACAAACATATGTTTAAATGGAAATTATATATTATGACTCGAAGATGCTTTTTGTTATCTATTATGCGCTGGTATTGATGTTTTTCACAAAATTGAAGAGTAACTGGTCTTTTCTTGACTAATTATTTTGTTAGCGAGTTCAAGTTTCATCGTTACCAGAAATAGTTCAGTCATTGATTCAATTTTCGGTACCAACATAAACCATTATTTACAATTTTAGCTTCTATGCTAATTTCCAAAGATTGATGCATTACCCCCACATTTTATACAACGACGACTGAAACTTGCTCATGGCCAACCAAGGAAACTAGCCGAAAGATAAGAACTGGCCATAACCTCAGCAATTTTGTTACAGTTTCAATATAGCTATATCGCTGAAAAGCCAAAATGGCGCTTTGAAGTCATGGCCAACCATGGTTTCCATTTAAAACAAACATATGTTTGTGTCATAAGAAAAAAAAAAAAAAAAAAAAAAAAAATCGGAGAAAACACAGTCCACATTAGGGATGTGATCATCTACAACTTTCATTCCGGAAAACTTCTTTGTCTAAAAAAATAGGCTATAAATGAAATTCAGGACACCTCTAAAATAGCCAAAATTTGGTTTTTTTTTTTTTATTTTTTTTAGCCATGAACTTTTTCGAAAATCTGAAAAGCGCATATTTATGACCCCACAAAACTGCAATTCTTTCCCCATTTAACTGACTCTCTATCTCCAGTAGTTCCCGAGATAGCCATAGAGAATATCGTAGGAAACTCACCCTGTATAAAAAACGTATAAACGATATAAAAGGAAAAATGTAACGAAAATATTTTCGTTACTTAATTCAAAAACCACTCAGTATACTCTATGGTATTAAGGTATTTTTGGAACCGGAATGTTATAGGAAATTCACTGAACTAAACAAATATAAAGCATTTCATTTAAAAAACTAAAACTTAGTGTAAAAATTTATTTGACTCACCCTGTATATCTATAAAAATATTTTTGAAATGTAAACTACCATTAAACACATATTTTGTAAAAGGTTTGGAGTACAAATCTCAAATAGGAATCCTGATACAGAGCTTTTTCGGAACACGGAGCCATCTTGTATGTATGCATTTGTATATGTGATGTGTTTATTTAAACACTAAAGTGAAAGCAACGAATTTAAATTGGTAAACTTTGTAATATATCTTATTAACAATACAACGCAATTTTTTTATAAAATCTCTTCATCAGTAAATGAATTCTGAGGTTTGTATCCCATAAGGGCTTAAACCACTCCACTATGAAGCTTTCTGTGAGTGAGAGCTATCTAGCTTTCAAATTCGCTTTACTTTTGACTTCTATAGTACCTTCCTGTATATATCAGTAACATCCACCTTGAGTAAAATGGAAAAATTGTGAGGAATCGAATCCAAAAGGAATACCAAGAAACAGAAGCCGAAGAACAAGCAGAGTTTAGAGTCGGAAGATCGACGTTGGGCCATTTATTAACAGTCACTCAAGTTATAAGTGTGAAGACTGTGAAGGGCACGCAGGGCCACACTCCAACCGTAGATCGGTGTGTACCCTCGGAGGAAGAACTGTTGTCAGAGGAGGATGGGAAATATCTTGTCCTTTCTACAACAGGGGTATGATGTGTTATAGACTGTGTGTTGACTCATGAAGGGGCACAATAGATCTTTAAGGTTGCAGTGATTAATCCCCCTCTTACTCATTCTATTCTACAAAACAATCAAAACGCAACTTCGTGTCGATTTATAGACAGATACCCGGTAGTGGCTTATTACAGTAGCGGCTATGATTACATTTTTGTAGCAAGTAATGAAATTATTAAAATTTTATGTTTCTGTTTTGTTATTATGTTGTGTTTCCCGCTTCAAATATCCAGTAACGTAATTTGGCAAATGTGAGGATGCTGGATGTGCCATAAAAGTAATTTAGGCAAATATTCAAACGTTTGTGTATTATGTCAAATACCAGAATGTGTTGAGCCGACTTAACAGACATGTGTAATTTGCTTAATTTCATGAATACGGCAATTTTAAGAATAATTTTAATAATACGCTTTTGAAAGTAATGGCAAATTAATTTGGCGATGAACAGATTTCAAAGGTGAATTATAGGTATTTCCAGTCATGCCTAAATCTAGGTGAGAGTAGTTAACTTTGCAGAGATTTTTTTTTTCTCTCCTGATGATGCCAACTAAACAAATCGAACATGGTGTCAAACATCACGTCTATATTTAATTTAAATTTGATTACGGTACAAGCTATTGTATTGATTGAACAAAACTATCTATATTTTCGACAATACAATATTAAAGTGGATATGACTATTTGCAAAATGATGAATCTACAATAGTTCGATAATTGAATTAGAATTTTATTCTACAATTTAAACCAAATGTCGAAACCGGAATAACTCTTATGCTGCCTACATTAATATATTAGACAATTAATTATCACTTGTTCCAATGTTCAATGTGTATAATAATAATATTGTTAATCATGTATTGTGTACCTATGACACGCATTGGTAGTAACACTAGTAACAGGCTTGTAATAGGATATATCTTTGAATGTGGTAGCTAGACAATGATTGGAGAAGATAGATGAATGATCTGGAATGATTGAGACCAGTCGATTTGGCAATTGTTGTCATTTGTTCTCTTTATTTTTATTAGCATTTCGATTCCACTATTTTATACAGGGTGTTTAAAAAAACCTGTGCCATCTCTCATGGGGAGATTCCTCACGTAAAAATAAGATTGATTTTTCATATCAACATATGTCCGATTCTGCTTTGTTTCGTAGCTACAGGGTGTTAAAGTCTTAATATTTTTTCGATTTATTATAATTTTAAAGTTAGTATAAATGCGACATATTTTAAAGCTAAGAAAGTGTCGACATATTCATCAGGGACGTGCATATGGGTTATCACTGGAATATTTTTCTAAAAAAAGCATGTACGCCACTGACTTTTTTTCTCTTGTTAGTGAACTAGTGTGGGGAACGGCCCAGCTACGTCGAAACACCGATTCCCATTAGAACACTTGTGTCTAGCCCTAGCAAGCAACTATTAAGCCCGACAAATCACGTTAGAGTTTTTGACACACACAAATGAATTAACACACTTCAAATAACCACGCTAACCAACGTGGTTGGTCAAGCTTAAAAGTTGACTGCTAGAGCTAGACACTTCTATTAGAACACCGAAGTTAAGCGACGTAAGGCGATACTAGTGGATGGACGGGTGACCGGTTCGAAACTCTGTATCGTGCTGTTGTCCAATAAAGGCAAAAGTGTAAAATCTATTGACACACACTGCTCATTCACGCCGGTTTGAGGCCGGATGAGATCGGATATCTCGTGAGTAAGAGTTGATTTAGACACTTGCCAAGTCGGTAGGCCATTGACCATGATATAGCCGAGGACCGCGGTTCGGATTCCGCGTAAACAAAGTAGCCCCGCCCAGATTAGCCCGGCAGCAAAAAGGAGACGTTAACTGAAATCTTTACTTTACTTATCTTACTAGTGAACTAGTGTAAGCAGTTTAATTCCGATTAAAAGTTGTTTCGTTAAACTTGATATTTTGTCGATTTCAGCCTCCTTGATGATATAAACGCAATTTTATTAATTTGCCTTGATCCAAGTCTAATAGCAACCTTTAAAAAAATTTAATATCGTTAACTTGCGAATGTTTTAAATAAGTACTCATTGATTCTTCATCAAAAAATATGAAAAAAAGTTCCTATAAACCTGGGTACGGAAATACATAGTTTTAGAGTTACAGGATGTTAAAACTTTTTAAAATTAGGTTTTTTGTAATTATCTTAAATACCATTATATTTTATTTGAAACTGCTGTTGGACTAATAGTAACAATAAATAATAGTAATAATATTTCATAATAAATTAGGTAAAATATATAATTTATTAATTTTATTTTAATTTTAATTTTATTAATTGTGGTTATTAAAATTACGTTTATCTCATCAAAGAGAGGCCAAATTCGACAAAGTATCAAGAGGTAACTTTTAATTGGCATTAAACGGTCAACACAATTTTGATATCGAAAGGAAAAAGTCAGTGGCGCACATTATTTTTTTTTGAAAAATATTCCAGTTTGCATGTCCCTGAAATTTTTCGACACAGACATGCATGTCCCTGAAATTTTTCGACACTTTTTTTACATTAAAATATGTAGCACTTATAGTAACTTTTACCCTCAAAATTCCATTCGTATCACTAAAAGTACTTGGAAGAAAATTATAATTAATCGAAAGATAATTAAGATTTTAACACTCTGTAGCTCCCAAAACAAAGCAGAATCGGAACTATGTTGATATGAAAAATAAATCTTATTTTTACATTAGGAATCTCCCCACGAAAGATGGCACAAGTTTTTTGAAACACCCTGTATACATATCTCAAATACAGGGTGGTCCAAATTGTATTCGGAAAACTTGGGCAGCAAATTCTGCATGTAAAAAGAGGCAAAAAAAGTATAAATTTATGTCTTAAAATGCTTCGTTTCGGAGATACAGGGTGTAGAAGTTTCATTTTTATTTCGATTTTTTACAAATAATTTCTGAACTAACATAGATATTTGGATGAAAATTAGTGTCTGAGAGTTTTTTGACACGATAAATTTGATATCGAGGGCAATGTGACTCCTACATGTAGGAGGTGCCAAGCCGCGGCCGCCTACATATTTTTTAACTGGTCTAAAGAGTAATAACTTTTCGTCCGTACCTGTATTTAAAACTACTTAGCGAAAAAATATACATATTTCGCCGTTTTTACGCAAAAAGGGTCTCATGGTAACAAATGCCACGACTACTGGTTCTCGAGATGTTTGGAACATGGAAGGAATAATGCAATTCGGACCACCCTGTATAGATTTGAATTCATTTGAATATGCTATTTCCCTACTAGTCACTTTTTTTTGCAGTGGACATCAGATATCACAAGGAATCTATAAACGTGTGTAACCTGAGCTGGTCAATTGCAAAAAATGGAAAAGTTCCAAACATAATTTATTTAAAAATTAATTATGTTCCATATAATTTTTTTTTCGTGAATTTTTAATATATTTTAATAGTTATTTTGTTATTGGGGGCGAATCCAACAAATCAGAGATCATTAAATTTAGTCCAGCCATTCTTGAGTTAAAAATATTTTAACTAACCCGACTTTTGTTTTATTTATTTAGATTGTATTTTTCTACTCTGTCCATGCTGGTTGTCACAAATTAACATATTATGTTAATGTGCTATTGTATCTAATAAACTCTTAGAACACATAAATTAACTTATATTATATTAAATCATTCCATTCATTGTAATATAAACATAAATATTGTGAACAGACATACATCACATTTTGTCGATCTCTAGATTTTATTATTTCTGAAAATCCAGTTGTTCTTAAATTTTGAGGTAAACGAACGAAATATTGACACTTCACTGTTTATTTAAACCCAACGACCCCATGGATATAAATCCGTCATATATATTACTCATGAGCTATAAATATTTGCTACATAAAAGCGATGGATGCTTTCAAGTTTCGAAATCAGCCTTTCTTAAGACTAGTTTTTAAAAAGCTTATGTTGAGTACTTAAGATAGTTTGACATAATATTTATAATTTTACTAACAGTTTTCTTCAAATTATATGGTAATTTATGATCTGTTAAATTAGTATACAGCCTGTGCCTGTTCAGAGAAAGAACGACTCATACGCTGGTGCAACGAATCCAAAAATATATTAATTCAAAAATATTCTTTTACTTAAGACGGCCTGATAACAACTTTATATTTATTCCCCGGTTATACCAGGTGGTGAAAATTTCAATGATCAACGCAGTTCAGTTTTGGTCGAGGGGTGTCTCACTTGGATAAAAAATGTACAGGGTGTCCCATTATAGTTGAAATCATGCGGTATCTCAGTTATTAGTAAAGATAAGAGGATGCAGCTTGCACAAACCTGTCCCACTTTTTTGTCAAACGAAAGATGCTGTAAACAAAATTTTTATAGCCCTCTTCGTTTCTGAGCTACAGGGTCTTTTTGAAAATTTTGCAATTTGGGACAGCCC